GAGAATGTTTATATATTTCCTCACTTACAGAAGAGGAAAAAAAAGAAAAACAAAAAGAATGTTTATATAACAGAATCCAACATATATCTTTAAATTTCCAAAAGCATTCTTATATGAAGAATATAAACTAATTATGAACATATATATGGCATATGAATACCATAATGTTTCTTTTCTAATAGTATTTTTTTAAACACAAGCAATGAATTAAATGATGCCAAACTGAGTGTTCCACCTTACATACCTGAAAATATACAAGGAAACAATCAAGTTTTCGTTTACTGGAACCTCTGTCAAAGTACTGGCCACATGTGTCCAGAATAGTGCATACGAGTCTAATTCTGAAAAGATGCTCAGGTGGGTCCAGGGAACTTGGAGAGCCATCAGGGTTAACACCAAATGAAGTAAAAGAATACAGAGTTCTGAAAATAACAGCTGATTCCACCATTCGGTAGTTGTAAAGTTCTCCTAAGAACTTGGCGCTGCTGATACGCCTCTGATTAAATTTAGGCTGATTAACCTAAAAAAGACGACAAAAACAGAAATTTTCATTAAACAGGAGTAATAGATATGAAAACAGGTTAAACTTGCCTCTGTAACTTGAAAATATCAATTACTGAAAGAACACTGAATAGAGAAACAACAGATCTTTTCTAATAAAGTGGTCAATTCTAGGTGTACTTTTCTCTCTCTAGGAAATGGCTATCCTTAAAATGTTTTCAGAAAAAGAACATGTTAGATGTTAAATTTAGCTATCATTACATGAATTGTTTATAAAATAAAATGTAATTCTATTTTTGCTGCAATCAGTGAATTAAGAAAACAATAAATCTGGGTTCTACAGTAAATGGAAAGCATTAGGCCAGGTGCAGTGGCTCACAACTGCAGTCCCAGCACTTTGGGAGGCCGAGTTTGAGACCAGCCTGGCCAACATGGTGAAACCCCGTCCCTACTAAAATTACAAAAATTAGCTGGGCATGGTGGTAGGTGCCTGTAATCCCAGCTACTCGGGAGGCTGTGGCAGGAGAATTGTTTGAAACTGGAAGGCGGAGGTTGCAGTGAGTCAAGATGGTGCCACTGCACTCCAGCCTGGGCTAAAAGAGCGAAACTCCATCTCAAAAAAAAAAAAGAAAAGAGGAAAGTATTTACAGAAAATTCTTATAAAATGACTATCAGCTTTTTCTAATAAATTTGCAGATTCTTACAACTTGAGGCTCAATAGTAACCTAGAAATAATAAATTCTCCACAAATTCCAATTTTGTGACATTAAAAAGTCTTGGTTACCTCCATTCCTAATCGAATATCTTCTAAAACTCCATCCACAACGTGGATCCCAACATCCTCTTGGTAGAGCACTAGTCCTGCTAAGAGGTTGGCTACACAATGGATGCTATTATATTTCACATTCCAGATGTTTATCATACAACAGATAACATAGTCCTTTACTTCTTGGTCCTGCCAGGGCAGCTTTCGCATCTGTCTCAAAACCTAAATCAAGAGAATGTTGTTTAAATTATTAAGATAACTACACAGTAGTCTGACCAAATAATACATAAATTTTTACAATGACTGTACAGTCAGAGAACTTTTGAAATAGAAAATACATTAGAAATCCTCTATCAGCCTCTTCAGAAATAGAAAAAATGATATTTTCTAATTATGATAAAATTCATTATCATCTTTCCCAAATCCTTCCATAGTGCCCTCAAATTTTCTAGAGTTTTCAGGTCTTCAATCTAGGTAACTGTACTCAGGTCATTGAAAGAAATATTCAATCAGGAGTTTGCAATAGGGTTTTTTTTCCCCCAGACATAGTCTTAGTCTGTCACCTAGTCTGGAGTGTAGCAGTGCAATCTCAGCTCACTGCAACCTCCTCCTCCATGGCTCAAACAATCCTCCCACCTCAGTCTCCCAAGTAGATGGGACTACAGGCACCCAATAGCATGCCTATCAAATTTTTGCATTTTCTGTAGAGGCAGGATCTCCCTATGTTGCCCAGGCTGGTCTCAAAACCCTGACCTGAAGTGATCTGTGTGCCTTGGCCTCCCAAGTGCTGGGATTACAAGCATGAGCCACCATACCCAGCCTGGAGTAGGTCTTTAAAAACAGAAATGGGCCAGGTGCAGTGACTCACACCTGTAATCCCGGCACTTTGGGAGGCCAAGGTGGCAGATCATCTGAGGTCAGAAGTTTGAGACCAGCCTGGCCAACATGGCAAAACCCCACCTCTACCAAAAATACAAAAATGAGCCAAGCATGGTAGCGGGTGCCTCTAATCCCACCTCTTAGGGAGGCTAAGGCAGAAAAATTGCTTGAACCCAGGAGGCAGAGGCTGCAGTGACCTCAGACTGTGCCACTGCACTCCAGCCTGGGTGACAGTGAGACTCCGTCTCAAACCAAACCCGAATGTTTATGAAAAAATAACATGTTCTCTTTTGCGCATAATTTGACATAAATAATCTCCCTTTATTTCTTTCTTTATTTATATGTATTTTTTAGACAGGGTCTTGGTCTGTCACCCAGGCTGCGGTGCAGTGGCGTGATCTCAGCTCACTACTCCACCTCTAGGGTTCAAGCAATTCTTGTGTCTCGGCCTCCTGAATAGCTGAGATTACAGGCATGTACTAACACACTTGGCTAATTTTTGTATTTTTGGTAGAGATGGGGGTTTCGCCATGTTGGCCAAGTTAGTCTCGAATTCCTGGCCTCAAGTGATCTGCCCACCCCGGCCTCCCAAAGTGCTGGGATTACAGGCATGAGCCACCGTGCCAGTCAATAATCTCACTTAAAAAAAATCCATCAATTTCCAGCAAATAAATAAACCCAAAGTCAACTGGCAAAAACATCCCTTAAGGGATTCCTTAAGGGATCTTTCCACTGAAACTGGTATAAGAAGTTGTTTACCCGTTCTACACTTTTCAAACTTTTAACCAATTCCAAAACTTTTTTTTAATTTTTTTAATTTTTTTGAGACAGAGTTTCGCTCTTGTTGCCCAGGCTGGAGTGCAATGAGGCAGTCTCTGGTCACCGCAACCTCCACCTCCAGGGTTCACGCGATTCTCCTTCCTCAGCCTCCTGAGTAGCCAGGATTACAGGCATGCACCACCATACCCGGCTAATTTTGTATTGTTTTCTTTTGGCAGAGACAGGGTTTCTCCATGTTGGTCAGGCTGGTCTCAAACTCCTGGCTTCAGTCGATTCACCCACCTCATCCTCCCAAAGTGCTGGGATACAGGCATGAGCCACTGTGCCTGGACCAAAATTATTTTAAACAACTACTGCCTCTGACTAAGAAAGCTGGTTTCAATTTTCAAACCTGCAACATTGTTCCTACTACCTTCCACCTTAAAAAGAAAAAAATTCGACACCGTATTATATGTCAAGTTGCACGGTTCACCAAGAAATGTTTTGCTTAACATATCTTACTTAAAAGCGAAGTTTCTAACGTGGTAACTACAATTATTAAGAAAATAAGTCAGTGATTCTTCACCTTCACTGGAAATTAACCGCTGTTGAGAATCTAAAGAAAGCACCAGACCCTGTTTCCAAAAAAAATAAAAATAGCCACAATCAAAATTATGAGATTTCAGAGGGATCATAGGCCTCTTATAAAGTCTACGAAAGGTTAGGATCCCCTATGCTGATGCAAAATATTTAAATACAAATTCATTATGTAATACTAGAGAGAAAGTAATAGTTTCAAATATATAAATAAAACCAAAATTTACTAGAATTACTATTTCAATTAGAACAAAAAGTTATCATAAAAGGAAAACAAAGCTGGGTGTGGTGACTCACGCCTGTAATCCCAGCACTTTGGGAGGCTGAGACAGGCAGATCATGAGGTCAGGAGATTAAGACCCCATCTGGCTAACATGGTGAAACCCCGTTTCTACTAAAACTACAAAAAATTAGCCAGATGGACATGGTGGCGTGCGCCTGTAATCCCAGCTACTCGGGAGGCTGACACAGGAGAATCGCTTGAGAGGCGCAGGTTGCAGTGAGCCAAGATTGCACCACTGTACTCCCAGCCTGGGCGACAGAGTGAGACTCTGTCTAAAAAAAAGGAAAACAAAACCTAAGTCCCAAATATTATGTCTCATCATAAGAATTCCTTCTCGCCGGGCGCGGTGGCTCACGCCTGTAATCCCAGCACTTTGGGAGGCCGAGGCAGGTGGATCACGAGGTCAAGAGATTGAGACCATCCTGGTCAACACGGT